AATAATTATTTCAATCATTAAGTGTTACATATACATATATAAAAAGTCCCACGTGCGGGAAAATTGGCCAAACAATAACGTTCAAACACAAAAGACTCATTTTGACTGAAACTGGACAATATATCACCATGTTGTGTCACTTCTTCAATACACATTTTGAATGCATCATATATATTAGATGGGTCAGTGCCCTTCAAGCATAAATGTATTTTTCCTTCACCATAACGGTTGAAAATAACCGTTGTTTGAAAAAAAATTATTATCGATCCAAATTTGTCAAAACAAATACAAATGGATAGCCAACTATGTTATCGATATAACTTATAGTTTGATATTCCTTACATTTTAAACATATATACACATCACCACATGCAAAAAATACCCTAATATGAAAAAAAATTCAAATTTTGACTAAAAATGACCATTTTTTGACCAAAATGTGGTCTAAATTGCAATTTTGTCCTGAGTATGGTCAATAAGAGTGCTTTTTTGAAATCAGCACAGTTTTTTACATAAATTAGGCTACTCAAAACATACTTAACTAAAATTCTGATTAAAGCCATCTATCTCTTAGGGTAATACTGTAAAACCATTATTTTCATTGACAATTAATTTCACTATGTTGGTGTCTTGAGCAATTTAACTGAGTTTTAAGTTCACAAATTTGGCAAAGAAACAATGAGTTCTATTGTTATTCTATATAATCACGTAGATTTAATTTAGCGAATTTTACTTATCAGCGAGAATAGCGAAATTAATGCGTTTAAAGTATCTGCTTTGTTGTGCGTCTATCCAAAGACACTAGAAAATGCATGATTAACCAAGCATTAAACCGGAACCCAAGATACCTTATAACAAAAAACAAACAAAAAAAAAACAAACAAAAAAACAAAACAAACAACAGAAGTTGCATGTCCCTGTATTTTCTAGTGTCTTTGGTCTATCATACTGTTATTTGTGCAATCAGTATGAAACAGAAATCATAGAGAAACCTCGCTGTTACAGACTAAGTCAAACCTCGTACACCACTGTCATCCATGCATTCAAATCAGGAATGAATAAATGCCGACCTGATTTTAGCTTGAAATGACAGGTTGCCATGACGCTGACCAGAGGTCCCAACATCATTCATTCAGGTGCCCATTCATGCACTTGTTTTGTTCAAACTTTGTTCAAAGCTGACAAACGCTAGTAAATGTTTGACAATATCAGACCAAAATGGCAACTTTCATTTTTGGAGGGAAAGCTGAAAAAATGTAGTTAATTCGAAAGGTAAAATAATCCAAGATAATTATTTTAGCTCTAACGGATTTTATTTATTGATTTTTTTGTTTTATAATTACTTCACTATGCACAATCTACACAAAATGTCGAACTGTTATGGTGAAAACACACATATGAGATTGCAATATAAATTAGTTAAATTAAATAACATTCTTATATTATTTGATCGCAATTTCATTTCTTGCTATTATTGATGCAAATCGTGAAATCGCAAATCGAGGTTCAGTGGCAACCTTGTTATAGTGAGCCAACAATGCGTTAATGACAGGCGCATGTTAAGGATGAGTTCAGCAGAATAGATATGATAATGAGGTTGCAAACAGAGTCGCCTTAAACCCTAGAATCTAAATCACATTTTTGCCGTTTACACACACAACAAAACAGACAACAAAGACAAAATACTGACTGTTCACAAATCACGTACAAAAGCAAACAGGAAAAATAGTAAGATTACCTACCAGAAATTACAGTAAATTCAGAACACGCCTTTCCGAGGTTGTAGCAGCTAAATTGGCGCCCTCAAATGGCAAATGCACAATGTAATAGCGATCGCCCACTCTTCTCACTCAGTCTGACGCGAGAGTTCGAACTACGAGGGCGCTATATTGCTGGAGAGCCTCGTTTTCGTCTACGCAATCCCTCTGTTATATAGTAGAGATGCTACCTGACAGGTATTTTAATTAGTTAATTAGGCAACCAAGATAATCTCCTTTGTCCACAAAACTATATATTTTCCGAAAGCTTATTGTATGAATTTAAAAATTTTGTAAATATTTTTTTTATGGACACTGTAGTGTGAAATATGCACAAAAATGTGTTTTCTTGGTCAAAAATAATTAAAAAAAATTTGCTTCTGAACCATGCCTCTGTTTCCTGTCAAAATTGGTTTACGGGTACATCTGTTTACTATGACAAAAGTGCCGTCGTGAAAAGTGTCTACCAGTTGTCAATTTTGCTGGGCGTCAGCTAAAATTTCACTAATTCAAGTTTATGCATAAATTAACACCAAGGCTAGTTGTCTGTACGATTGTTGTAGCACTGTTCAACCGAAAACAATACCCCTACGGCGTTTTGAAGATAAACAC